TTGAATTAAGTGAAGCCTTGTTCTTGCTGTTTTGTTGACATTTTATTTTCTCCTATTTATGCGATTTCTATCTCCCTCCATCGTGGGAGCCTGTTGTGATTGCTTCGAATCCTTCTACATAGGGCATCACCATGTTAAATCTTCCTATGCGCCTCAGTATTGAAGCTGAGAGAAGAATCAGGAAAAAGTCAACTGAGCTCCACTTTGCTTAAAATTCCTCTTCTCAAAATCCCAAGAAACCTAAATAGTAATGGGAATAAAATTAATAATAGGTGTACGGGAAAGGGAAGAGATTTTAAAAATCAAAAGAAGCATGCTGATAGGACATGTTTTTACTACAAGGAAACTAGACACATTAAGGCCAATCTAAGCTGAATGACAAAATTAGGCGTCAGAATAATAACAACGCTTGTAATATAATTCAAATAAGAGAAAGGACTTGATCTGTATATTCTCAATATCATTGGTTGCTGACCATGACTTGAGGAATCGGTGGGTCGACTCAACTCCACTCGACATGTCTCAAGGACTAAAAAAGGATTCACAAATTTGAGGGTGAACACAGCTGATAACTAGTGAATTTATATATGGAATGTCACCTATTGTGATCTACTCAGTGTTGGTACTTACAAGTTATGTCTACCTGGAGGAACGGATCTCCTAGTTATTGATACTTTGTATGCACCCAAGATGAGGTGTAGTTTAATTTATGTTCCCAGGCTAGATGACAAGGGATATAAAAAAGGCTTAGGTTGGGTCTTGTCAACATGGATAAACATTGTGAAGCATTGGTGTACAGTATTGAAGTTGGTAATTTGTACCGATTGGACATTAATGAAATTCCTCTTATTCTGATTATATGGATGTTTTGATTCTTATATTTTGTGTGGATGGTTCATATTTATGGAATTTAAGATTGGGACACATAAATAAAGATAAAATAAACAAAATGGTTAAAAGAGGCTTACTGTAACCTAGGGCAAATTGTTTTCAAAATATGAGAGCCATTTATTTATCATAAATTAACTTAGAAGCCTTTTCCTAAAAAAAAAAGGTCTAATGAACTTCTTAATATTGTACACTCTTGTATATATAGGTTTTTTAATGTAAAAATATACAGAGGTATAGAATATTTCATAACATTTATAGGTGAGTATTCTCGTTATGGATATTTATGCCTAATCATTAGAAAATTTATTCTCGTTATGGATATGTATGCCTAATAATTAGAAAATTTGATGCATTAGAAATATTTAAAGAATATAAAGTTGAGGTAGAAACCTAGCTAGGTAGACATTACATTCCTTACAACAAATGGGGGTGGTGAATATTGCTTCGATTTATTTACCCCATTTTGTAAAGAGCATGGTGTAATGCACCAAACCATTATGCCATATACGCTATAGCAAAATGATGCAGTTGAAAAAAATAAATAAATAGAACCCTAATGGACATGGTTATGTCTATGATTAGCCATTCAGATTTATGACCTCATTTTTGGGGTGAGTCTCTCAACTATGCAATGTACATTATTAATCGTGTTCCAACTAAAGCCATAGACTTAACCCCCTAAGAACTATTGACTGGTAGGAAACTAAACATTGATATCTTGAAAGTTTAAGGTTCTTGGGCACATGCGCACTTATACTACGACAAAATAGAGGTAAACTACACAGTAAAAACTATTAAATGCTCATTTTATTCAAGAAATTCAAAGGGCTATAGATTTAACAACGATAATACTAGATCATTAATAGAGAGCCGTGATGCTCATTTCTTAGAAAATATGGATGATGACGTACATTAAATAAACCTATTGACTTACGTGAAATTGATAAAGAGAATTGGTGAGCGTGGTTCCTTTGATCCTAATATACCAGATAGACAAGAAAACCTAAAGCTAACCTACCACCTTAGATGAATTTTATATGTTCATGAATGTAGATAATTATTCTCCAGTGGGTGAGGATACAACAGATGAACCTTAAAGCTATAGTGAAGCTATTAAGTCACATGACTCAGCTGAGTGGATTCAAGCAATGGATGATGAAATTGATTCTTTTAAAAGGAATCAAGTTTAGGAGTTGATCTCCCTACAGATAGAAAAGCCATTGGTTGCAAATGGATCCTAAAGAAAAAGCTTTAATGGAAATGAATCCATATAAAAATATAAAACAAGATTGGTAGCTAAAGGATTTACCCAAAATAAGCGTATAGATTATATGGAGATTTACTCTCCACTAGCGAAATTTACATCTATTAGGATCATCTTAAGATCAGTTGCATATTATGATTATTATTTCAAATGGATGTTAAAACATCTTTCTTGAATTGAGAATTGAAGGACATATACATGAAGAAACCAGAAAGATATGTGATTAAAGGCCAAGAAGGCAGAGTATATGAACTTACGATATCCTTATATGGTCTAAAATAGTCTTGTGGGCAGTGGTACTTTACCTTTTATGATGCAACCACTGAAATTGATTATGTAATATGTACCCAATAGATTGGACCATGCTGTATATATACGGAATAGTGGGAGCAATTTTGTCAACTTATCTTTACATGTAGATGATATTTTACTAGTTGATAATGACATTGGCTTGATTAACCATACCATATCTTAGCTAAGTTCCCACTTTTAGATGAAAAACATGGGAGAAGCCATGGGAGAAGCCTCTTAAGTACTAGGCATTATAATAATAAGAGATAGAAGTTCAAGACTCTTATGTTTATCTCAAGTAAATTATTTAAAAATTATTTTAAAGAAATTTAAGATGAAAACACCTGTTTGTAAAATAGTAAACCTGTAGATACACCCGTTTGTAAAGGCTTAAACTTGTATAAGGAAAAGTGTTTAGCAAGTGATAATGACAAAGCTAAAATGGAAAGAATTCCATAAGCTCAAGCAGTAGGGTGTATAGCGTATGCTATATTATGTATAAGACTTGATTTGAGTCATGCATTTGGTCTTGTAAGTAGATTTCAACGTAATTCTGGGATGGCTCATTGGCATGTCATAAAAAGGATACTCAAATATATTTAGAAAATTAAAAACTGCAAGTTGTGCTTCCAGCCATTTAGGGGTTATTGAGTACTCTGGTGTAGGATTTCCAAGAGATCCAGATAATAGAAAATCAACCTCAAGGAATGTATTCCTCTTTGGAGGTGGACATATTTCTTGGTCAATCAAAAAACGAGGTTGTGTATCTCAGTACACTATGGAAGCCGAGTATATTGCTTGTAGCATTGCTATTACTTATGCCGTTTGGAGTAGAAGCTGCAGAAAGGATTTGAAGCTAGATATAGTTGACAAACTAGTAAAATATTTTGTTGATAGTCAGACTACAAACTCCACCTTTGCTTGCTCCCTGTCAGTCATGTCGGTCCCAAGTCATGGTAAAGGAGGAGGGTTGTGTTAGGTAGGCAGCCAACGTAAAACTTTACTACAACTTACCATGAATCCTGAATATACATTAATTGTTAATACTAGTTCATTCCCCATAAATGAGAAAAGACATAAGAACTTATAGTCTTATTGAGGGTATGACCCTTGATAGAGTAGAATGGAGGAACAAGATTTGTGTAGCCTCCACATGATTGGGATAAGGCTCGAATGATGATGATGATGAATCAGGCTGCAATCTAATTAATTAAGAATGGAGCCTATAGCTCCAGCACATTGAAATTGACTATCATTATATATATATATATATATATATATATATTATTGAAAAGAATGAAATAATTGTGAGTTATTTACCATCAGTTGATATGATTGCAGACCCTTTGTTAAAGGGAATAAGTGTTGTGATATTTTCAAAGCATGTAAATTTGAGGGGATTTGGGAACATCCAAGTCAAGAACTTCGAAAAGGGATAATTTTTTATGTCTTGGTCATGAGAGAAAAGGCCGCATTAGCACGAAAAACCTCATGACAAGACTATGTACCGTACTATCGTGGAGTGCCTCATGACATGGATATGCTCGTATAGTGTAATTGTGTTAAGCGGCACAAACTTTAAGGTATGCTAATGTATCCAGTCCTCATCGCCAAGTGCGAGATGTTGGTGCGTGTGGCCATGGGGCCTCATACGTGTCGTATATTTTTTATGTATTTTAATTAATGATTTTTTGATAATATTTTATATTACTTATTATTTAAAAATATTTTTAGAGAGAAAATATATTTCCAATAGTTAGTGGATAACTCTCCTATCTCCCAGATTTTTGAGGGCCACTTCTCAGATATTCCAGGAAGGAAAGCCGAACTTTGGATAACGGCCTCCTCCTATCTCTCTATATGAGAAAAAAATACTAATAATAAAAGAAAGCTATTCTCAATTGTTATGGAGAAACCCTAGGCTTTCTAGGATATACAGTACAACGACATTGCCATCAAGATCTGGGATTTTGGTGAGTTCGACTTTATAGCAAATGCCCTGAGGCCCCCAAAATGGGGGAGGACCAATCTAGCCATCTGCCATTGGTGGATGAAATGTTTTCACATATTTTTATATGCTTTTTCTGGGATAAGTTATATTTTAACATGTACTTTTATAAATAAACTACTTGTATGATGTGTATATTGTTGCTGGGTTTTTGGGCTAAGGTACTAGACACCTGGAACAAATATGCTACACAACACTTGTACTGGTGTCTATGTAATTCTGATGGCCATGCTCTTTCCCTAAATCTATTCGATTTGCTGCTATTTGAAACAGACCTGTTTGAATCATACTTGGTTTTACTTCGAAAAGGAATAGTTGAATTAAGTCATGAGTTGTGGTTTGTATGATCATATCTCTTCTGGATTTTATGGCATCTGTATTGAAAGAAAATATGTATGAAATAATATTTCCTGCTTATGGCATTATTGAATCATTTGCTGTTTAGTCTTTCATTGAATTTGTTCTTGTCTCATTCTTGATATTAGTTAAGTCCAGTCCCATATTATCTTACCTTGTGCAGTCTTTATTTAATTGGTTTTAATGCAGAATGACCTTTGGAAAATTTGTCAAGTCTATGATTCTTTCTTGCAAGCATTCCCTTTATGCTATGGTTACTGGAAGAAGTATGCAGATCACAAAGCACGCATGAGTACTACTGATGAGGTTGTAGCAGTTTATGAGCGAGCTATCCGATCTATAACATATTCTGTTGGTCTCTGGGTCTGCTATTGTAGCTTCGCTACCATGGCATTTAGAGATCCTGGTGATGTTCGAAGGTAATATTTGGGTAGTTTGAATTAATATGCGTTTGCTTGATCCTGCCTGCATTGAGGACCATGGGTATTTTAATTGCTCTTGGAAGTATAATATTACTTTCATTGGAGGTATAGTAGTTATTTCATAAGTGTTTCATGTGCTTATCAAATACTGTGAAGTTTATGAAGAAAATTGACCCATTCCAAGGTGTACCTGTCTTCTCTTTTGGTTGATTAAGCTTAGTCTGATTCAATAGAAATGCAATGAAAGATTTAGTGACCTCTCAATCTGAACCAAAAATTTCGTTATGGGGATATTTAATAGGGCTTCATTGGCAGGCAAGATGAGATTTTGTAACCCTAATGCTGATCATTTAATTCACAATAATGGTGATGATGATGATCATGATAATCTTTTAACACCTGAGGTTTAATTGACCCAAGAGTGCTACTATTAGGTTGTGGTGTTGTTGCTCCTTATGCTTTATGAATTCTTTTGTTTGGGTACCTTAATTGCTTAAGATATGTACATATACTGACACAAATTCTTCCTGTTTATTAATCGTGGGTTCATTATTCAGAGACTTGAAAATCTTTTGTTTTGAGTAGACCTTGAGCTTTGAAAATGTCTTTGGAGCTTTGAAAATATCTGTAGATTCAGCCAATTAAGGTACAATTGATTTTTCCTTGGTACTCATCATGAAATAGAATATTAGTGCCCCATACCTGTTCAGAGATGGAAATATGTACTCACATTCATGCAGTATATGCTCCCATATTGACCTTCCTTACTGTTGACGTACGCTTATGCCATTGGTATCCACAACTTGTTTTGCATCTCCTCTGAGATATTGACATATGCATCCCAAATAATTGATGATGTTCAACTATTTGAGGCTTCTTGTTATGTCAGGAAGGAACCTACATCATATACTCGATTTTCCTTGTAACCATTTACCATAATGTGCGTCATTTTGGAGGATTTCATCTTCATGAACTTTGATAGTAGCTATCTGACAGCCTAACCAAGCACCTTTAACCTTTGTCCTGTTATTTATACTACACACTTGAAAGTTGTGTAGCATCACTATTAATAACAATGTCTGCTATTATGTCTGGAATAGGAGATCAAGGGGAATAAATGGAGGTGGGAAATGAAATGGTAGAGGGAAATGAGAGCTAAGGAATCTTACATTACCTTTTGAATGTTTTTCATTATATACTTATGGAGAATCGTAACTATATCCAGCATACGTCATGCACCCACAAATATTATTATAAATTTGGTTGTCGTTTTATTGATTATTTTTCTGCATTTGTATCCATTTTGCACGAGTTTTGCATCACAGATACTTGTGCATGCACGTGTTTATTCATAAGCACTAATTCACACATGACAATACGCGTATCTATGGTGTTTAACATTTATGGCTACATGTAAAATGCGTGTTGAGTGTTACTTTGAGTTGTCAAGGAAATTGGCAGATTGTGTGGTCTGTCTTGTTTTTGTGCCATCCACTTAACTTTGTTTGTATGGTAGGTGTAGTATTTCCACTTGCTTTCTAGCATTTCTGTGATGCCTATTTGATCTGGATAATTTATAATATTTGTAAATTCTCATATTAATTCTTTAAGATGAAATGATCGTTCTTCTTTTTGCAACTATTTGACAGGTTGTTTGAGCAAGGGATTTCATTTGTTGGAAGGGACTACCTATGTCATCATCTATGGGATAAATATATTGAATTTGAATATATTCACAAGCAATGGAACCATCTGGCTGTTATTTACCTTCAAACTTTGCAATTCCCATCAAAAAAATTGCAGAGTTATTATGAGAGGTATATGTTAATTCTTGTCCAGATTTCATATATACAAGCAAAGAGCTGGAGAATTATTCTGATCTCGACATGGGAGTGGTTGGGTATATATCCCATATATGTCTTCTCTTTGTTTCTGGGCCTATGGTCTTAGCCAATTTGACCTATTTGGTTAAGTATTTTTCTCCTCAGGTAGCTTTCATAAAAACATGGAAGTGGCTATTGTTTCTGGATCCACGTGTGTGATTCTGTGCTCCTAGGGGGTTCTTTAGCATGTATGTGTTTACCGACTCAGAATAGTTGACTCAAACTCACCTATGTCACTTGGGCTCAGCAGACTTCCCTGCCCAGAACATCCCCTAACTTGGGGGGTATCATCATCATCATCAAAGTTTTTTCTCAATTATTTGGGGTCGGCTACATGAATCCTAGCCTGACATTCTACTCTATCAAGGGCCATATGTTCAGTGAGGCCATAAGTCCTGATATTTTTTCTCACTACTTCCAACCATGCTCTTTTGGGCCTACCCCTTGTCCTTTTTTAGCCTTTTACTTGAACCAACTTACACCTCCTAACAGGTGTAGCCATAGGTTTGCGCTGCACATGGGCAGCGCACCTAAGTCCACTTTCTCTCATCTTATCACCTATTGGAGCCACACCTAAGTTCTCCAAAATGTATTCATTGCGAATTCTATCCCTTCTTGTCTTGTCACTCATTCATCCCAACATCCTCATCTCAGCCACACTCATCTTATGGGTATGTTGTTTCTTGACCGTTCAACATTCCACCCCATAAAACAAAGTTGATCTCACTACTGTTCTCTAGAACTTCTCCTTCAGCTTCATTGTACGCGGTGATCACATAAAACTCTGGTTGCACATCTCCACTTCCCCCACCGAGCTTTAATTATGTGTGACATTTTCCTCAATCCCTCCATTTTCCTAGATTACCAAATCAAAATATCGAAAGTGCGCTTTTTTGTATTTCTTGGCTGTCAATCTGAACTACTTCCTCGTCTATACTCCTATTATTACTAAATTTGCATTCCATACACTATATCTTAGTCTGACTAATTTAAAACATTTAGATTTTAGAGCATTACTCCATAAGTTCTAATTTTGAATTGGTGTCGCTTTAGGTCTCATCAATCGAAACTATGTCGTACGCAAACAACATACACCATAGTACCTCATCTTGTAGGCGCTTAGTTAAGTTATCTATAACTAAGGCAAAGAGTTATGGGCTCAATGCTGATGTAGACCTGTTTCACTAAAAACTCACTCGTCTCTCCACTAGTTGTTCTCACACTAGTTAGCGTTCCGTTGTGAATATCTTTCACAAAGTCGATACGATATATAGAGAGTATATAATAAATTATAACTGATTTGTAATTGGTTTAATATTACAAATAAGTCAATTTAATTGATTTAAAATTAAATTTGTTATGTTCTTATGATTTTTTATATTTTGTTGAGCTTTTCTATTTTTCTCATTATTTATGAGAAAGTGATTTTGCACTAGATTTCTAGAAAAAAATTCATCTGTCTTATTTTTTCTGTTGCTTATAATTTCCTTTTTTCCCACTTAATTTTTGCCATTTTCCATGATTTTGCAAATGTTTTGCGTTTTTTGCCTCTTTAGGTGTCTCAGTTCAGACTTGAGCAAGTTGGATTAGACTCACCTAAGTCACTGGTACCCCTCAGGGCTCGAGTTCCACAGCCAAGCCATGTTTTTTAACACTGGCATATTCCATGCATGTAAAGTTTTTGGAGTGAATTCCGCAACATAGGAGCCCAACTTTCTTTAAAACGCAAAGCTTTGCATCCTTGCTATGCATTCTGATAAGTGTAGGGAACTCGTGGGATAACCTCGCAGATCAGCAGCTCCCCCTCACCGTTACGCCATGATGTAGATATGATGCATGTTATGTAGTAGGTACATTGATGCAAAACAATCTCAAAAACCAATTATGCATATGTAAATGTGTTCCGTTCATTTGATAAAATACATGCATCCAATGTACTGCCGATTCTTGCAATGTATACTTGTATTTATCATGGATGCTTGCATTTATGATTGTGTGCTTATGTGTGTATTAATTGTTGTGAATTTCTCTGTGTGTATGGTGACATATATGATTATACAAGCATGAGATTTTTTTCTGGTCTATCAGCTTCTCTTTTCTGTGATTATTCTTCTCCTTGTTACTCATCAGCATATTGATAGCATGCCGTGTCATCTTTATCTTTTCACATTTCTGTTCTTTTATTCATAAACTGTGTAACTCTTAATTTTATGTGGGAATTTATACCTTATCAGAGAAAACATGTCACAAATTCAGATTTAAAGAGTTTTGCAATATTTGGGAAGGTGAGCTGAAATGTGAAAACGGTGTTCATTCACAAGGACATCCAGAAGATGATTCTTTTGATGGAGTCTTGGAGATAAAGAGAAGTGGAGATGGTGATATTTCTAGCATTATAAAAGAACTCCTGGAAGAGCCATCAGGCTCTCCTAAGCCTGAAGTATTAAATAAGTATGTATCAGTGGGAGAAGAACTCTACCAGGATGCGAAGCAGATGGATGCTATTATTCAACACTTTGAGAAGTGTATAAGGAGACCATATTTTCATGTAAAAGCGCTTGATGATGTTCAGCTTGAAAATTGGCATCGGTATCTTGACTTTGTTGAGAAGCAACATAATTTTGATTGGGTATAGATCAGTCTTATACTACTTATTTAAACCACCGAAACCCTTCCCCCCCTCCCCCAAACCAAAAAAAAAAGAAAATAAAAATAAAAATAAAAATAAAAATAATTTTACTTGCTTTTTTGGGAACCTTAGTTTTTTCAGGTCTTTCTTATTTGCAATACCACTGATGTTGGCATTGACAGACTGTTAGACTGTATGAGAGATGTCTGATTTGTTGTGCAAACTACCCTGAGTTTTGGATCCGTTATGTATTACACATGGAAGCTGAGGGAGGAAGAGAAATATCAAATTTTGCACTTTCTCGAGCATGTGAAATTTTTCTGAAGGTACAGTTAGTGTTCTGACTTCTCTTTTCTGTTGCCATCAATACCCTTGCACGTGTTTTAGCTTTATTGTAATATAAATAATGCATTGAACTGCTTTTTTATTTTTCATATAGCTCAAATTTATCCATAGATTAGATTTAATGTAAATAAGAAACATATTGAGACCAAGAAAGGCAATTGCCTTTTATTAGTATCTGTGTTACAACTGAAATTGCTAAGGTACTTATAATATACCAAGCAAATCCAAGGACTGCTTATTTTGCCAAAATATAAGTACTGAAATGTCACTAAACTCATTGAGGATTTGTCCCTTTTATGCTTGAATTATACCTTTTAAAGAAGGTATTTTTTGTCAGTTGAATGGCACGTAGTTTTTCTCTTTTGCAACAATTTTTTAACCTTTAAAAAGGTATCTGACTTCAAAGCAAAACGAAGGCAAGCCCATTTCTGAGCCTGCTACATATTATATAAATCATCCTTGCCCTCATGATGCTATCCTGGATAGCCACTCGACCGTAATTTTTTAGAAATGTGAAGATTAAATCCTTGTCCATGGTCACTGTAAAAAAAAAAAAAAAAAAAAGAACAGAAGAATCCGCATCCATGGTCTCTGGCACTACTAAAATGTCTTGCAGGAATTATTATTTGTTTCCTTTTATTCTTTACTTCGACCTCATTATTCTACTCAAGATTGAAGATATACTTACAGTCATTACCTTTCTGTATTTGATAAAAGACCACCACCAACCTCCAGAGTAATCCTTGCCTGGACACTTTAGGATGTTTCAATTTCCCTATCTGAGTCCTTTGCCAATACTATATTAACCAAATGGATGAAAACTGAAAATGAAATAGCAATTGCCACATGTTGGAAATACCAATACTTCTCTGAACCTTCACTGGTAAGTCATATTCCATTTTTTCTATATGCTTTCCGATATCCATTGTGTGGGTCTAAGTGGCAGCAAGAGGGAGAAGCAGGAGAAGTAGGGGCAGTAGTTCAACCGAGAAAAGGGCAGTTTCCGAAAATTTTATAGGTTTGTGCTCTGTAGTAGTATGGTTATATGTATTTACCCTGGATAAAAGAACTATGACAATATGCATACTTGTAAATCCTTAGACTCAACCTCTCTCATTAAGCATGCTTAAATACTCACGTGCACATATTCATGTACATATACGTGTATATAGAGCTGTTAATATATCCTTAGATGCACGCTTTTATGTTATGATGTATGTATGTATGTATAATATACATGATCAGGATAGAAGAGTCTTACCAATGGCTTCATAAAGGATCATGAGGATGTTATAAGGATAGTGAGAGAAGCTTGTCCTCTGGCTTGGCATGCCTTGTCCTAATCAGTACAATGATGGTCATTTGGGCAGTGGCAGAGTCTTTCATTGTTGACCCATTTTATTTATCCTTTTTTACAAAGTAATTTTGAAGGCACCGTCATTCTCCTTTTGAATGCTTGGAAAATTAAATGGATACTTAATTGGTTTTTATTGCTATTGAAAAGTAGTTTTAATGTAAGATAAGAAAACATTGAGATAATCAAACAATTAATATCCATAAGAATTATAAGACATTAATCATTTGACATCATAGAAGTCATGATATTAATATGATGTGAAGGATGGAATATAAATTAATATAAATTTAGATTCTCAACTTTTAATTCATATTATTTTAAAAATCTTTTCATTTCTAAATACATGATATAGCGGTAATTTTAATCATCATCATCATCATCAGAGCCTTTTCCCATCTATTTGGGGTCAGCTACACGAATCTTGATCCGCCATTTTGCTCTTTCAAAGGCCATACCCTTAGTGAGACAATAAGTCCCCATATCTTTTCTCACGACTTCTAAGTTCTAACCATGTCCTTTTGGGCCTACCTCTTGTCCTTTTTGAGCCTTCTACTTGAATCAATTTGCACCTCCCATCACTGGTTGTATTGAGTCTGTGTTGCACATGCTCAACCCGCCTAAGTTAATTTTCTCTCATCTTATCACCTATTGGAGCCACACCTAAGTTCTTCTGGATGTATCCATTTTGAATTCTATCCTATCTTTTCTTGTCATTCATCCATCTCAACATTCTCATTTCATCTACACTCATCCTATGGGTATGTTGTTTCTTGACCGTCCAACATTGCCCCATCAAGCAATGTTAGTCTCACAGTTGTCTTATAGAACTTCCCTTTCAACTTCATTGGTATGTGATGATCACATAAAATTTCGATTGCACATCTCCACTTCTCCCACCCAGTTCTAATTCTATGTGTGACATGTTCCTTAATCTCTCAATTTTCTGGAGTATCGACCCAAGATATCGAAAGTATTTTAGTATTTATTAGCTGTCAATCTTAACTACTTCCTTGTCTCTACTCATATTATTACTAAACTTGCATTCCTTTTACTTTATCTTAGTCCATCTAATTTTAAACCTTTAGATTCGAGAGCATCCTTTCAAAGTTCTAACTTTGTGTTGACGCCGCTTCAGGTATCATCGACAAAACTGTCGTTCGCGAACAACATACACCATGGTACCTTATCTTGTAGGTGCTTAGTTAAGTTGTCTATAACTAAGACAAAGAAGTATGGGCTCAACGCTGACCCCTGATGTGGACCTATTGTGATTGAAAACTCACTTGTCTCTTCGCTAATTATTAGCACACTAGTTACCGCTCTCTCGTATATATCTCTCACCAAGTCGATATAATATCTGGAGACTCCTTTTTCTTCCAACACCCACCAAATTAAATCTTGAGGTACTCTTTCATAAGCTTTTTTTAGATCAATATAGACCATGTGGAGGTCTTTTCCCTTCGCTCTAAACTTCTCAATCAGTTGCCTAAGTAGGAAAAGAGCCTTACTTGTTGACCTTCCTAGCATAAAATCGAATTGCTTTTTTGATACTCGTTCCATGCTTGAGATGTTACTCAATCGCTCTCTCCCGCAACTTCATATTGTGGCTCATAAGTTTGATCCTTCGAAAGGTCGCACAATTCTATATGCCTCCTTTGTTCTTGTAAATAGGTATTGCAGTATTTTTTCTCCATTTGCTTGGTCAACCAGTCAATGTCAATCTCCCCTATGCACTTCCAAACCTCTATTGGGGTACCATCTAGTTCTAAGCCTTTCCCATCTTCATCCTCGTCAAAGCTTCTTTCATAATCTTTCGAATGTATCTATGACCTCCTCCTTCATTTATGCCAACGGTTCCTTCTATCGCCATGTTTCTATTATATTCGTCATTTAATAGTTTTTGAAAATAAATTCTTCACTTGTTGTTGACCTCTTCATCCTTCACCAAGGCCCTTGGATCCTCATTCTTAATGCATTTAACATGCTCTAGATCCTTAGACTTTTTCTCTCATTTTTACTAATCTGAAGACGTCTTTTTCACTTTTTCTTGTTCTTAATTTATTGTATAGATTATCATATATCTTAAGTTTACCCCTAGTAACTATTTGTTAGTGTTTTTTTTATCTTTTTTATATTCTTCTAAATTTTTATTATTTCTTGCCGAGTTTTATAACATGATCATTTTTCGCTAATGACCTCCTGAATCTTGTCACTGCACTATCAAGTTTCTTCATCGGAATTTCTTTCCCCTCTAATTTCTCTTAAAATTTCTTTTGCCACTTTCTTAATACAGTTAGCCATCTCATTTCACATAGCATTGACTTCATGCTCATAATTTCATTTTCCTTCTTTAACCAATTTATCCTTAAATAAGTAATTTTTCATTTTTTTAAGATTCCACCTCCTAGTTCTCGGACACATTAATTTTACCCCTTCTCTTCCATCTCTTTATATAAACGTCCATAACCACAAGCCTATGTTCCGTAATCAAACTCTTTTTTGAGATATCCTTACAGTCTTGACATGATGGTCAATCTACCTTCTTAACTAGGAAGAAGTCTACATAGCTTTTATATGAACCACTTTTACAAGTTATTAAATGTTCATCTCGCTTTTTAAAGTAAGTATTTGTTATTGGTAGGTCGTAGGCTGTAGCAAAATCTAGAATAGCCTCACCCATCTCATTTATTTCACCAAACCCTTACCCCTCATATACCCATTCATATCCTCTACTATCTTTCCCTACATAACCATTTAAGAGCCCTCCTAAAAATGTCCTCTCTACATTTGGTATGTTTTGGACTAGTTCATCCATGTCTTCTTAGAATTGTCTTTTAATTTTATCATCTAGTCCTACTTGTGGTGCATAACAACTAATTATGTTAATTATCTCTTCTCCTAATACAAGTTTAATAAATAGGAGCCTATCACCTACTCTCTTGGTATTAACTACTTTATCTTTAAATCTGTTTACAAATTCCTATGTTATTTCTATTGTTATTCTTTCATGCATACCGAAGTTTATACCCATCTATTTCTTTAGTTTTTTCCCCTTTCCACATAGTTTCTTGTCGACAAGCTATATTTACTCTCATTCTCCGCATTGTATCCATGAACTCCATACTGTTACCTGTAAGTGTTCTTACATTTCATGTAGCTAAACGAATCTTATCTTCTTGGATTCGCTTCTTTACCTGCGGCCGTCCAAAATGTCGTGGGAACCCTTGCTATTTTTCACTGTAACCAAGCAGCGCTGCGACGCATCTTTTCCGGAGAATGCCCTAGCTAACCCTTACTCATTTCTCATTGTACCCGGGTTCCGATATAGCGCATCACTCATGGGGAATGCCCTAACATAAACAGATAACGTAAATTCGGGATTCATAGAAAGTTTTGGTAAGGTTTTAGATTGGCTGCCTACCTAACAAAACCCACCTCCTTTACTCGGGCTTGGGATGGGTTAAGGGAAAGTTTAAGGTCCTCACCTTTCTAAGACAATGCCCTTTTCATTCTCATCAGAGCGGTACTTTTAATTATATAATATAAATTGAATAAGTAATATAGGTAATATATGTACAGTTAACAATTTAAAAAAAAAAAAAGGTAATAGATGTAAACTTTTCGGATTAATGTTAAACACGCTATGCCCTTACAATGTCAGTAGCTTTACTAAATTTGTTAGTCATGATTTATGGAAAAAACATTTTAAGAAAGAACCTAAGGACATTTGTTGTTTTGGCTCTCCAAAAAGGTTACTGAATTTCAACAGTTACTGCTGAAGCTAGATATTGTATCTGAGGCCAAACTTCTGCTAAAGCTATTTTACTTTAGCTTCTAATTCAATAGTTATTCTGTAGGCTTTTATGTCCTTAATCATTGACAATTCGCATGCCATCAAAATTGCTTAGAGTCCCTTTGTCCTTGCCTGCGTTTATTATAGTGAAGTTGGTCAACGATTAATCCAGGAAAGCCTTTGTTTGTTATGATTTCAGTCCTCCATTCCCATCAGTCAAGCACTAATTGATCTGCCTTCCTAAATCCTGAATGATCAATTCCATTCAAATCTGTCCTGTGGAACCTTACTTCCTCATCTCTTCATTTCAGTTTTAGGGAGTGTTTTTTATGATAAATTTGTTTTCGTTATGGTACTTTCAGGCACATTTTTTGAGAATCAGACACGACTACGTGATCTGACTTCTGGAACCAGGAACTGGACAGACATGTAATCTGGATCATTCCAGAAGCTGTGGATGCTCAAAAAGCTGAAAACTAGGCCAATCCAATTATGAGATGATTCTATTTTTGGTTCCTTGTCTGTATTTTGTTTCAATTAATTATGAGGTGTTCTGTGAAAATTGCCACCTCTTTCATTCTACAGTAGTTCCCTTTCTGCCACCTAAAAAATCACATAAAACCTAAATAGATGGATAACTGCACCTTAAATCAAACTGAACGAAACTATGACAATAAAAAGTAGTCTTAAATGCCCTAATCATGGCATAGAAGGGTTTTGGGCTTTTGGAAATTGCAATCTTGAAATGTGCATCCTAGTTACCAAATTAATGGGAGCATTGAGTTATGTTTTGTTGCTGTATACTCTCTTTGCCTGATTTCCCCTCTTCTAAATATCGAAAATTGACCTTACCAACTAAAGCACATTTATTTGTGGGGTTCAATGTGTTTTCATTGCTCTCCTTTATGGACCTTCTTTCTGATATCTAATTGCTTTTAGTAACTAAATCACTAAGATCTATTTTTGGGTTTTACTATGTTCCCTCCTTGTCTCTCTCCATTATAGCTTTAACATGATGTGTCCTGATTTCCTAACGTTGAAGGCATAATCCCATTATGATTTTCCTTCTTTGTTTGCATTTTTTAAGTTTTAAATTCAGCATTGTTCACATGGCCTTTTCAATCCTGTCAAACCAGCCATCCTACTGGATTTGACCACAATTACTGCTCTGGTTTATAAAATCTTGCCTTCAGGTTTTGTCGTCAACTATTCTTTTTATCATTAAAAGATCATTAGGTCAAAACTTTACTCCTAAAGACCATTATGGTCTTTTGTTTCACTGTTATGTTATACCTGTAATCCCCTACGGGGTAGTTTGTTCTTTAATCATCCATGGCATGTGAAAAGATTTCTAACCTGTGGTTATCTTCTTTCAATCACAGAGGTCGTTGGATATTCATCTTTTCTCAGCGAGTTTCAAGGAGCAAGTTGGCAATATCTCTGGTGCTCGGTCTGTTTTTCTTGATTTGGCTTCAAAATTTCCTTCCGATTTTGTTGAAATTGTCATTAGAAATGCGAATATGGAAAAACGTCAAGTAAGTCTTATCCTTTTCTTACTTTCTAGTTGAAACGTAAATGCAATGTACAATTATTTAAATATTACCTAATATTTCAATCACCATTTCATGCAGGGAAATGTTGAAACAGCCTTGGTAACATATGAAAATGCACTTGCATTGGGAAGCAGGAAGGTTCCACTGGACCTTTCTACCCTTTATGAGCAGTATTCTAGATTTACATATAGGGTAGGGTGCTTTATCTTTCCATTCCAGATGAGCTTTTAACGTTTTACTGCTTTGAGTTAGTTATTTATTTGACATCATTGTGCTGTTCAGATGCATGTTATTATATCGATACATGAAAACACTTAAAAACACTCAATGAGCAAATTCCTCCAGTGTTCGCTCATGGCTAAGTAACATCCAAAGGCTCTTAGATGGTCATGATTGTCTGGTAGTATTTGAATTTTAATATTTTTTTTACAAATCAGATTAACCTGAAATTATGTGGTGTGTGGACCTTAGTGAGGCGCACCTAAATAAAATATTAAAAAATAATTCAAATAATAAAATGACCAAATTCATTATTTTATTTTTTATTTAGGTGCGAGTTGGTTGGATGTATACACGTCCCATATTATAGATGAACCCAATTCGCAGAAAAATTATTAAAATTCAGACATTTTGAAACAACCGTGGCTGTATGATGGACTTTTGATGGTGATGAGCCATGAGCGAAACACTATAGAAATGCTCTCATGAACGTCTGTAAATGTTTTCCAATTTTTTATGTATAAATGAAATTATTGAATGATGATGCTATTCTCTGGCCAACAGATAAAATTGTTTGTGTAAATTTATGTATATTGTGCATAATTATATATAGTACTTCATGAAGTGCTATATGTTTTATTTTGTAGATTTATGTTACATGTTTATACTTTAGTCTTTAGTATTAAGAAGGCCAAAATGGCAGTTGTGTGTGTTTGTACACTTCCTAAGTAACATATACCGTTGATTTTCATAGTCTATCATAAATTAAAATAACCTATTTATATGATATTGTTATTTATGAATTTCAACTCCTAACTTCAATTCTGGCCCTATAGATTATATGCCATTGTTTAATACTAGAATTATTGGTATTAAACATTTGATTTTAATACATACAATTGATCAATATTATCTTAAGTAATGAATGTATTATATGGGAGAAAACTTCATTTGATAAAATTTCTTATAAACTGGTGTTTGGTTTCTTTTAGAACACTCAAATTTTTTGGAACAGTATTATCTTTAGGGAAATTCAAGTTGACCAATAAATTAAGACCAAAAGTCAAAAAGTTTAAGGTTTGTTCATATTCACCTATGAGCCAACCACATGTTGTCTTAACTTAATAGTTGGCAAGTTGGGGAATGACAATATATTGGCAAACTAAACACTAGTAATAAATTGGTTTTGTTTCAAAAAGGGTAAGGCAAAAATACGGATTGCCAAAATTTAGATAAGTTAAAGAATCACGAATATTTCATATTTGCCTCTAGAAAACAGAGTGAAAAATTGGACATGCTAAGATGACATGAGATAAATTTATAACTTGTAGTTATTTATTATATTGAACATTAAAGTCGTTGACAATAGTTTTATGTCCTTACCTGGAATCATTTAGGATAGTTATTGGCAAATTGTTGTCTAAATTTTCATTGAATACAAACAGCAATGCTTGCTCTGTTGTCAAGACACATAACATACAACGGGCTTATTGAGATGGTGGTTTGTGAGGTCAAGGCTCTTAAAGCTCTGACGTATCTTTCATGGCATACATGCTGCTAGTCATAGACCTGTGCGATCTGTGAGGCCTGTGTAGTTCACATTTTATCTATTGCTTTTGTGTGATTCGTGAGCAATGGCTTTGTGTTCCCTTGGAGTGTGCATGTGCTCGTGTCTTCTTTATGTGACTTGACTAGGTTTTGGTAACTTATGAGAGAGGATCCCTAGCTTCTCTGTAATGTGTCAGTGTCTTTATGACCTAACTTGGTCTTTGTGACTCTCCTCTGTGGAGGAGCACCTAGAATCTGTGGTGGCACTATAGTTCCTCTATTCCTTGGCTGGCTTTTCTTGGTCAATCATGAGCCTCTTTTATAGGAGACATGGATTATGGGTCTGTTTGTTCGGTTTAATGCCTAGAGTGTGGCTGCAGGGTAGTCATAGAATGCGTAGTTAGATTTTTATGCCATTGCTAGCACACTCTTCCAACAGTATCTTATGGTTTTTCAAGGTTTTATGATAAAAATAAATTGGGTTTTACTTTTTGAAATTAGTCATCTTTATTTTGTGTGATAGAATTATTTTTAGAGCAAAAGTATTTTTGGAATAGAATAATTGTTCTAAAACAAGGGGTAACTTTGGACTTCAGTAAATGTCTTAATACTGGTAAACTTGAGGGCATTTTTGAAATTTATGTAGGGAACCTCTATGCCATAGTTTGTGGGTCTTATTAGGCCACTGAATTTCAAATTGAGGCCAGCTGTTGCTCAAAGACCCACTGGGAACTATGCGAATAGTTCTCCCGTGGGGGGCGTGTGCTCCTCAATTTGGACTTTTATTTCATATTTGAATGTAATGATTACCTTCGTGACTAAATATTTATTTTGTACGAGTATGAAAATTCAAAGTTGGTTAGAATTAGATTTTTTAAAAGGTTCTTAACTAGAACTGGAATGCTAATTTCATGGAATCAAATTTGAACTAGAAAATCTAAGGCTGTAATGGAATCCAACTTGGATGGGATGAGTAATGGCAGAAAATCCACAAGGGATACCGGTGCATGTCCACCCTTGATCTATTATCATTGTGGTCATCATCATAATCATCATTATCAAAGCCTAATCCCAACTAATTGGGGTCGGCTACATGAATCATGTTCCGTCATTCTGCTATATCAAGGGTCACATATTACGTAGATTTAGGATTCATGGTAAGATATGCCAGTTTTACGCTGACTGCCTACCTAACGCAACCCACCTCCTTACCCGAGGTTAGGACAGCTTAAGGGAAAGTTTGAGGTCTAGACCACCCTTAATCTATATGATGTTTATCCAAGGAATGGATGGCTGATATTAGCCACTCTCACCCCATACTCATTATAATTAGGTGGCAAGTTCCATTTGTCTACTCTGCCCTGGACACCTCTATATAAAGGGTACCCCACACGTTTATAAAACATGGAGAATTTAATGGGCATCACGTGGAGAGCCAAAGAAGAGGATCATATGGTGAGAAGTCTGAGGAAAAGGAGAGAGGTGTGAGCTGAGGTTGAGCTCAGATTGAGCTGAGGTTGCCAATCACCACTTATTCCCCTTTTCTTGCTTTCAATTGGAGCAGAATTCCCAGATCAAGGCTCTTATAGGTTTCTTAACTCTTTGGTCTCTTTGTTGAGATTTAGAGTGAGAAAATCCTAGAGAGAGCCTCGATAGGGTGGGATTGGGAATCGGGTGTTAAAGGATTCTTATGGCATTTGAATTACGGGTTAGAGAGAAAAAGAAGGGATGCTGGTAGAATTTGGGATATGTTAAGACAAAGAGCAACTGGGTGGGGGGGTTGAGATTCCCTGGAAAATGGCAAGGGATCTTAGCCATGGACAGTTTGGCAATAATTGAAAAATTATATTATTTGATTTGTCTGACTAAATATAAAATCTGAAATTACTAACAAATTAAATATAGAATATGATTATTAAGTTCAAATTTTTTTGTAGTAAAAGAGAATTCTCATTAT